TTAATCATAGTTTATTTTACTTTATGAATTTCTAGCTATTTTGTGACTTGTTTAGGGTTTCTATCAATGTAAAAATCAATCAGGTACAAGGTTAGTGGATTAAATATTGAACCAGTAGATCAATAATTAAATTAAACGATTTGGTCTCTATTAAATTTTTTAAAATAATATCCATGACATATATATTTCATACCTATATACTACAATAAAATTCATATCATGTTTAAAGAAATCTCCACAAAAAAAAATATAATCAATATTATAATCCTTATTATAAATAGATTGAACTACATAAATTAATATATAATTAAATATATAATTTTAAATAGAAACATATTATATAAATTATTTAAGTCAGATATATAACAATAGAGTATGTTGGTTTAATAGATATTAACGTGATAAAATGATTAGATTCACTTGAGTTCAAGTCCCATCTCATCCAAATTAAATTACTTGAATTTGAATTTATATAATATATATATATATATATATTATATAAAATAAAATGGTTCAATGGCTTGTTAAGTATTTAAATCATAAATTTATTAATTAATATTTTGCCATAGTGGTTAGTAACATTTCTATTGTTGAGATTGTCAAGGTTCAAGTCCCATCATACCTATATTTTGTTACATTTTTCTAAGCTTTTAATACCTGCATGTGTTTCTTGGTCAACAAATGCATGTGTTGTCAGCTTAAGGCAAAGAAGTGCATTGAAAGGTGTTCATGATTTTGAATTGGTGTTTGTCAACCACGAAATTGACTGAGTTATGTCTAGGGATGTGAAAAAAGGTGTTCATGATTTTGAATCGGTGCTTGTCAACCACAAAATTGATTAGGTTATAAATAAGGATGTAAAAAAAATCCATATCTACGAGTATACGTGGATAAAATTTGTAACGGATAAAAAATGGATATTATAAATGAGTATTTATGGATAACAAATACAAATATTTTTTATAACTGCATGTTAATAGGGAGGATACAAGTATTATAGTTTCCGTACTTGCAGATACCCATACCTACTAATATTCAATTTATTTGGACTTGTATAAATTTGATTTTATTTGGACTTATAATAGTTAAGTATTGTACTTTATTATCTTTTATTTTGATTTATGTGTAATCAAAATATTTTATTTTATCAATTATTGTTTGAACTTTAAACTTATATGATTGAATGTTTAATATTTAGGTTTTAAATCCACTTATTATTATTAGTATAATTGTGAATGCAAAACATTAAATAGAGAATGTGTCATCAGACAAAGCACAGAGTTAGACTCCATAAAGTCTTAAATGCATATCATTTATAATGACTAATGACTACTTGTTGCATGTCCAGCTTGTTCATTAACAGATCAAACTAAATAAGCTCTTTGGAACTCACAAATCTATTAAAATGGATGAATTCGTGCTTTGCATGAGAACTAAGGACAAACAGATCTCTAAAATCACAAAGAAAGTCAGCAAAAGTTGATGTAGACTCTACTTCTCATTGTCACATGCTATAGATAGTTTTTTTGGTATCCTAAAGTTGATAAGTAACCCCCTTGATTAGATAAAAAGTGATAATTTGGTGAAATACATTTAATGTATCAATGGATACTTCTAACCTTAAGGAACTTGTAACGAAGATAAACAAAGCAAGCTTGTGAGGAACCCCTCAAGGTTTTGCAATGGTCATCTTCATCTCGACTACTATATAAGAATAGTTTCTCGATCAAAAGAAATATTTTTAGAAGAAATTTTGTACAAATTATTATTCATTCTTTCTGTAAAGACTCCAGTTCTTAATTGATTGTATCAGGTCTTGTTTGTAAGACAAAACATCATCTATAAAACTTTACCTAGATATAATTATTGTTATATGGTTGGTCCTGGAGCGACTTTCTGCAAAAGAATACTTATTTAAGCCTGGATAAATTTGACTGAAAAAAAATATTTGTTTGAACTTGGAGAGACTTAACTATAAAAGAATATTTAGTGTTGAAGCCTAAAGAGGCTTTGTGTGAAATAACCCTAGGATAAAAAAACATGGTTGGACTTTATCTTAGGGTTATGTAGTGCATTTTAAGAATACTAGAATAGATTGCTTGAAGTGACAATTTAAAGAAAACTTAGGTTTGACCCAAAAGTGGATTGTTGAAAGAATCCTTGTATATATCTTATTTAAGATAATTGAACTCAATCTAGTTGAATTGAAAACTAGACGTAGTCTCGATGGTTAAGATGAGCCAATATAATAATATTATGTATTTCATTTGCCTCGTCTCCAATACTTTTTTTACTGTTAGTGTTACTAGTTCATTACTTGAAAAAGTGCGAGTTTTTATTGACACTATTAAACCTATTTCTAGTGTCTATCTTTTGTCCACAAGGATCTGTCTCTTCTCCAACACCATTTACTGTTAGTGTTACTAGTTCACTACTTGCAATAGTGTGAATTGTTTATTGACACTATTAAACCCATTTCAAGTGTCTATCTTTTTCTCCACAAGCCCTTTATCCCCCCCCCCCCCCCCCCTCCCCCCTTATTTCC